CCCCCCCCCCCCCCCCCCCCACTTTCCCTCCAGTGACTATAAGCTCTACCAAAAATTAGCTCCCCTTTTCTCCGAATATAAGCTCTATTGATCAAGAATAAGCCCAACTAATAGGCACACGTTTGGTTCTCGGATGTTTACGGTATACATTATTTATAACTAAGCTCAAAACGACAATAGTACACTTCGTATTATCGCGTTCCGTCCGTCCTTTTGTCCATCCGTGTCTGTGTTTTACCGACATTGCCGACATTCGATTACAACACCCGCTGACACAAGTAGTTGCGGTTTCAGTATTCCAAGATGGAGGACAGAATTGGATAGAAAAATTCTTCCCGGATCAAGAATCTCCAACTCCAGCTCTCGTATCATTCATTTCCAATTTTTTAAAACACTGAAAATGCCTGGAAAAGTGAAAGTGAGGATTGTGTCTGCAAGGGATTTACCTGTTATGGATCGTACTAGTGACCTTGCAGACGCGTTTGTTGAGGTAAGCTTTATTTCATCTTACATGTTGATTTGTTGAATTTATTTTTGAATAGCCATTTTCTTTTCCCTCCTACAGTTTTTATTTCAAGCTTAATTCAGTTTTTTAACCTTAAAACTTATATTATATATGTATATGCTTACTATTTCAAGCTTACTTGATAATGGCTTAGTATAAGCTACTCATTTTATCAGAAATGTTTTTTGTCTTTGAAACAAAAACTAATACTAAAACCCATAAAAAGCTGGCTTTGCTAAGCTTATGTAAACTTACGTTCTAAGCTTATGTAAACTTACGTTATAAGGTTCTTTATGGGAAGTTTATAAAATTTTTAAATAACTAGCAGCATGGCATTGAGTAAACCACACACATATACACATCATAACAGTGGTGAATTCGAGTATACCTCTTAACCACACAGTCATGAAATATGAGATCACTATTGAAATGGGAAAAAAAACCTTGCCTGAGTACTATCGGGATCGCAGTGCTCCTTGTCTAGCTTTTCACAGTCTTGCAAAAGTAGTTACATCATGCTCTAGAAATTCCAAACATTATTTCACACATGAAAAAAAAAAAAAAAAAAATTGTTTACCACTTTGTGGTAATGGAGAAATAATATTTGTAAGCAGCTGACAAAATCTGAGAAAGATAGAATTAGTATGATAATAAAATTACTGATTAACTGGTGGTTCTCCAGTACTAAATACTACTGAGAACTACTAAGACATTGGAAAAATATCTAAATAACTTTGTCCAATTACCCTATAACACTATGACCTCACATCAAAATAATCTATTGTTTTAACGCTAAGGATCATGGTCGCCAGAGGGGGCAAAATAGCAGCAAAACGAATTAAATCACAATAAAAATGGTTAATTAGACGGGAAAAGGTGATAACAGTTTAATGTTGTACTAAATATCCCGAACGAAAGAAAATTTCGCCTAAATTCCTATCATTCTTGCCCATGTAAAGGAGCTGTGACGTCATAATGTTATAGGTCAATTTGCATGCAAGCATGTTGCCAAATCACATGCTGAATATTATTATCTACTTTTTTGTCATACCTAGAACAAAGTGTGTATACATACATGCAGGCATGGCCTCAAATCCTTAATGTCTACGCCTCCACTAAGCTGGGTTTAAATTAAAAAGTAACATACAGTACTAGATAAGAATAATAATAATCTTAATCTTTTATTTGTTAGAGCAGGCTGATTATTTTTGCAGCTTTCATGCACTGATGTGGGCCTGCTCCTCTCACACTCACTACCTCCACATTTAGTATTTTATGCACACAAAGCTCAACTCACATGCTGATTTTTAGGAAGGGAGGAAAACTGGAGAATCCACAGAAAAACCCTTGTGGCAAGGGAGAAAACAAAACATCAAACAAACTCAATTCACGTGTCAACTGCAGGGCTCTAACCAGCTACCCAACCAGTTGGACTGACAACGGTGAAAGGCAACGCATTAGCAGCATACGCCACCTATACCAACCTATTATGTTTTTTTTCTTTATTCAGGTGCGTCTTGGAAATATGATGTACAAAACTGATGTGTGTAAAAAAACTCTAAATCCTCAATGGGATTCTGAATGGTTCAGATTTGAGGTGAGCTTTTTTGATACCAGTATAGCTATATAAAAAGTTGAATTGTTATAAATGAGTGGCAGTGATTTGCTGTCAATGAAAAAAATGAACTTAATAATAGCTTAGATTACTTGCATGGTTGTTTTCAGGTYGATGATGAAGAGCTCCAAGATGAACCACTTCAAATAAGGTAAGTTTGTTTTCAAATAAATCAGGCTCGAAGCTTCATGACAGTACTCCTACTATAACTGGGGCCACTTAGACAGCGAGAACTACGGTAGTCTATCAAATTGTAAAATAARAACAATACACATAGACTGCACGAAAATGATGTTACATGTAAACAACATGAACATAGCCATTGTCATTTTCTTGTATTAATTTATAAAAAGATTGGTTGAAAGGTTATTGTTTACGGCTGCTTTCTGATTGGTTCAAATTACCAATGAGAGGTTAAGCTAAAAAATAACGGCAGTCATTGGACAATGACCACCCAGAATTGGAATTTATCCAAGTAAAATATTTGCCTTGCTTGTCATTTTGACCAGTAAAGTTGAGCCAGAAACAAGTATGGTCATTGAGCTAAAATTAATTTGGCCAGTCGTCTCGACCATRACTGATATGATGATATTTTTTGCCCTGAGGTTAAAACTCTCAGTGTTACTTGAGGTCTGTTGACTTGCTCTTGAGATTTATACAYGACATGAACAGAAATTTATAACAAACACTTGTGTATTTTTTTCTTTAGAATAATGGATTATGATACAGTCACTGCTCATGATGCGATAGGGAAGGTCAATATTAGCCTAAGTTCTTTGCTAACACAGGACCCTCCTGGGTCAATATCAGGGTGGTTCCCCATTTATGATACCATGCATGGTAAGTCAGTGATTACTAAAATTTTCAAAATTGGATTGAGTTTGACAATTATGTATCTGGTTTACACACTTCTAGAGGGTGACTTTTTTTKTGTGTTTTTCTTCTTTATTATTCATAGTTTAATAACTATAGTTATATATGTATAGTCTGGATATAATGAGTTGCTTTGTATTTATATTGTATTCACAGGAATAAGAGGTGAATTGCTGGTTATGGTGAAGTTGGACTTCTTTGTTGACTCAAACAAGTTCAGGCACACATCATGTGGAGTTCAGTTTTTCTACAGTAAGATAATATTTTATTAGTGCTATTATCATACTTTTATTTAAACTCATCGACAAATGAGTTGGGGTTAGGTACCAGGGCTAGCTCGGGTTGCGACAGATCGCATGCCCGCTGGAAGGTAACCATGGCAACCGTGGGAGAAAAACTCTTGATGCAAATCCACCAGCACTGCAAACACGGCAAGTAAGCCCCTGATAATGCCCTGGGTCCCTCCCGCACATTGTTGGGAAGACCGCTGAGCAGCATGCATTGTCTCGATTTTAACTTCGCCTAAATTTCATTTAGCCACATTTAAACAGAACTTACTGACATTTCTTGTTCTTTTGATGTTAGCTTGCTGTATTCCTTATGGATTCAAAGCGACTGCCATTCAAGGATTTGTGGAAGAACTTGTTGTCAATGATGATCCAGAGTACCAGGTATAGAATGTGACAATGAAGATGATGGGGATGATAGAAAGAACTCTGGTGATATATTGTTTGTATATGATATATAATTTCCCCATACAAATCACTGCATTTTCCACTCTGTTCTAAACTTTTGGAACACAGCCAAAAATACAAAGATTTGTATGGGAAAATTATATATTTAAATGGCCATATTTGAGCTGATATTTGATCGATTCTTGTCAAATTTGGCGTGGAAACGTCTTTTCCGATTGTTTATCAAAATAAGATATCGAAAATTGTTGAAGCCAACATTTGTTTTTTCGTGACATAACACTTTAGTACTCTATAATGATGATGATGATGATGATGATGCTGGTGGTGATAGTGAAGATGATGAAGGTGGGATTGGTGATGGTGATGGTAGTATAGTTGGGGTTGGGGTGGTGGTGGTGATGGTTACAATGATGATGAGGGCAAGGATGATGAGGATGACGATGATAATGGTGATGATGATGATAATAATTATGATGATGATGATGATGTGATTGCTTGATATTGATGATGCTGGTGATAGCTATAATGAAGATGATAACGATATRRTAATATRACAATTATGCTATTACGAAGTTATAAACTAGCAAAAAATACAAATATGCCTACCAGATTACATGCTTATTAAATTAGATTTCATGCTGAACATTTTAATTTGTTATCAGTGGATTGACAAGATTAGAACACCTCGATCCTCAAACGAAGCACGACAAAGGATCTTTACAAAACTCTCTGGTAAGCCATCAGATTTAAGTTTTTGCATTAGTGTGCGAATCCGCAATGCTCATGTACTCTGAACCARCATAACACCATCCAATAGTGTGTGAATACGTGACTGGAAGCCTTTCAAGTGCATCCCAGCTGTATTCTGAATGTTTAATGTTTAATGTGACTCGTTTATGTACTATGATCAGGAGAACTACAGAGAAAAATTGGACTGAAAGTATTGGAACTCGGAGGCAATGCTGTAGTTGGGTAAGAATATTTTTTTATATTTTTTATTGAACCAGTTCATTAGGTTAGGATGGTAGCTATAACTGCCGCAGTCTAGCTTAGTTGGTTAGGGCGTTGGTCTGTTATTCGAAAGGTTGTAGTTTGAGTCCCAGCCGGACCAGTGCATAGGGTCATGAGGAGAAATTGCTGCCTTTGTAATTACACTTGCAAATGGCTGGACCTTCATGTCTTCTTGGACAAGGATTTAAGACCGTAGTATTCATCATAACCCTGTACTTAGTAAGGCGAACGTGGGTGACGACCATGTTTACAGTATTTGGCGAAAGATGTTATCGGGTTCCTGTCCTCACGGGAAATACTAAAATTAATTTTTGACAAGAAAAAAACGTGCTAGAATAATAACCTTAATGAAAGCTTTTTTGTACATGGTTGTGTTTGTCCGTAGCTACCGACAGTGCTTTGATCTGGAAGGTGAATATGGTATTGTTGTTAGAGGGATTGGGACTGCTGTTACTTTGGCATGGTTACCAAGCTCCGCTCCGTCCACTCCTCGTCTTTTGAGCTCATCAGTGGAACTGATCTCTGCAGGACCTATTGGCGAGACTGGGTAGGCATGAAGATCTTTATGATCATGTGATATTAATCAATTTAGCTTTTAAGTGTGACGTCAATCGTTTGGGAAAACGACTCCCCCCTACAAAACAAAGAGCAGTTCTATAAAGACTTTTCTTACCATTTCTTCATGACAGTGTTCAGGGTTCCCAGGGGTCAGGGAAAAGTCAGGGAATTTTTTATTTAGTCAGGGAAATTGTGATTTTCACCTAAAGTCAGGGAAAAATCAGGGAATTTTGTTTAAAGTTAACCATGAGTATCCGTGTGATACTCATACTGTTTGCAATTTTCGAATAGACTGATAAATCTTTTCAAGTATTTAGTATCATTTATGCATGCTTGCCAATGCGGCTCAACAAGGTAAGTGAAAACTGTTCTTTAGTCAGGGAAAAGTCATACATTGTACTGTTGTCCAAAGTTGTGATTGTTGTGATTGAGCAGCTTGACCTGGAAATACGTCATAGCTTAAACGGGGACTAACACATAAATTGTCCGAATTTTAATTCAGCTTAAACTTTACTGGAATAACTCTTAAAGGTCTAATAATCACTGGTTAAAGTTTCATCGTTTTGCTAGTAGGCTTGGCCTTCACGTGACCGTCGATCTCTATGACGTATTTTAAGCAAATTCAAAGTAAAGAGAGGAAGTTTAAAGACCAAGCGCTAAACGTTATAAACATGTCAATTTTAAGCCCAGGGAGGGGGGTCGGGTCGGGGATGGGGCACCTAGTGACTTGTTTGGGGAAAGCACCCAGCGGGAGGGAAATTGAAATTGATTTTTTGAGAGAGGCCGCAGTTTCCGATGGACGAGACTCCAAACCTTTTTTCTAGTATTTTTTTCATGATGTTGAATTCTCTGCCTCAATGTGATATTAGCGAACTTCAGATCCATGTCGAACATGGGCACAATCATATCGTAGTCGTGGTCGCGTACATAATTGAAACTTTGTAAAAATCGGAAACCGACAACGATTCAGTGTTAGCTCGTTGTTCTTACTCTTAGTCGAATCTGAAGTTGGCTAATCTCTAGAGAGCTAGGGAACGTCTCAGCATCACATCCTGTGGCTTTGAGATAGATTAATCACCAACTACACCACTTCTATTACTCTATTTGAACGGAGGCTTAAAAAAGTCGATGTCTATGTAGACTTATAAAATTTTTGATAATTTCCTTAGGTTTACGTTTCCTGAAGTGGTCAGAACGAACGTTGCGAGGGCAAGACAACATAAGTCTTCAAGTGAGTCAGAACCAGAGTTGACCAACACTCCACCAAAGGGTACGTATCAGAGAATGAGTTGTTATACATGGTTGGAGCGTCAGGGTTTTGCCGAAATTCTTCTTCTTATATGCGAATGACAATTAATTCGAATATGACGAAAAATAGACTGCCACCAAAGGGACGCAGAAAGATCTTTCGTATATTATGTTTAAAACTAATCGTTTAGAAAGGTTTTCATCATAAATACATTCTTTGAAAGTCCAACGTTGGCGATCTCGTTCTTGTCCGCCATCTTGGACCAGATGAGTGGGATCTGAGAACGGAAATTCCAACGCCGAGGAAGGGGAAAGACTTAATGGAGCTATGTGATGCCTTTCTAGGTAACAGTCACCCCATCCTCCCCCCCTCCCCCCCTTGAAATCGTTTTGGATCCCCCGAGTCAGTGAATATAGTATGGGGTTAGGTCTGGAGGTAACATCCTGGATCGTAATACCCCAACCCATTAGTTTTCTCTTTTTATTTTAAGATGGTCTTACCGTGCAGTGTGTATTAGCCAGTGGACTGGAGGGGAGTGGTGCTAGCTCTGGTTGTACTACGCCTTACAGCATAGCAAAGGGTGTTTGGCAGATAACCACACAAAAACAGAAGAACATTGAGCACATGGTAAGGATTGATGTATGATCCATGCTTCACTTTATTGTTTTCCCAGATGTAAAGGAACAATAGGCGTTGGCCAGTGTGGAAACGAGCAAGGGACTGGGACGAGTATATCTCTGTATCTATTTGACACTTTTGAAGGCTTGTAACTCAGGTTTTTTGTTTACGAATCACGTTCAAATTTGCCAGACTTACTAATATTGAGTCGCGTTCTCTTATAACAAACCATTTTGCTAATAGGACGTTTGCATGATGGCGTCACTGACCTCTACAACCACACTCCCTTTCACACTTTCTTTTGTTCAGTTAATTAGCACTATTGTACTACTATTCTCATGAGGGAATACAAATTTAAATAAGAAAGAATATTCGCGAAGCATTATGGTAGAGAGAGGCAAATGACGCCATCATGCAAACGTTCTATTAATTCTATTAAATTAAAATTCAAAACTCGTTCCAGTTTCTTGCTCGTTTCCGCATCGGCTAATAAGGAGGCATGAAGCTGTGATCAGTGTTTGAGCGATAGTTTAGTTTAAAGGATACTGTAGTCTTTTTTCGTATGTAATGGAAGACCCAATGATTTGGAGCAAATGTAAGTATTTGAATGAAACACATTTTTCTCTCAGGATCTCCCTTTTTTTACCATCACTCGTTTCCCGCCTAAATTTCTACGTCATTTGGGAGGCGTTGTGTCTGCAAGATCTGTGAAACTTCTTGACAAGATCAACCACYCAGGTACAGTACTCTGATTTTGTTTCGATCGAATGGCTTTTACTGAGGCACAAATTTCCCACTCACGTTTAGACTCTGCAAATTCAGATTTGACAAGTTATCGACAGACAGTGAGGGCTCTGGTGAAACCTAGTAAATAGTTTTATATTGACTATTGTCTTTCTTCTAACAGCAAACATGACCACGTTTTCATTGTTTCCCTGCATGCCATTAACCTTTTGCAAACCTCAACAAAGTCAAATATTCTTTTTTATCTTTTTTGCGATTTCTTCTCAGTAATTTAGAATTTTTTTTACTGGTCAACTAGTGACTGTATTTCTCTCTCTTCCTCCTCATTTTTACTTTGTCTATTTAAAGGGCCACTTGGACGAAAATCGTTCCAAAATTAAAACTCTTTCATTCGAGCTGGAACTT